CGTAACAGAGGCAAAGTGTGTCACGTATGCCCTGCCTTTTTCCAGGACTTTTCTCAGATGATGGACGATCACAGCCGTGGAGCCAATAATTATTAAAAGCGAACACAGTTCCCTTCCCCTAAGACGAAAAAGAAGATAAAGAGGAGGAAGAAGAAGAAGAAGAAGAAGAAGAAGAAGAAGAAGAAGAAGAAGAAGAAGAAAAAGAAGAAGAAGACGACGAGGGAGTTGGGTGGGGTAAGTGGGAAGTTTAAAGTACGAGCACTGTATTCAGGAGCACCTGCGAGAAAATTCGAAACTACCGCGGTTGCTGCTCGTACAGTCTAATCTTCTAATCCTTGGCTTCCTTAGGAAGTCGTTTATTAGTAAAGCTAAACGTCACGATTGTGTCTAGGACCTCTGATACACGAAAACTTTCTAAAGCTAAAAAGGTATTCTATTTCACATTTCTACAAAAACGTGAAATATCCTACAAACAATCATATCACCTACATAATTATTTTCTTTATGTTTTATTTCTTTTTATTGCTATATAATTAAGAATAATAAATTTCTTAAATATTAGCCCTTTGTCTCTTCATATTTCACAATTTACATAGATAATTACAATACAGTCCTTATTTTAATAAATATATATATATATACGTTACATATTTTTATATTGATATACATATAAATATCTGTTCATTTGTATTGATTATTTTTTCTAATTAGTAATAAAAACTTCAAGTAGTACCAATTTTGTTTTTCTTTTTTAAAATTTATCTTTATTTGTATTTACTTCATTTTATTTATACTATTCGTTCATATGTTTGTGTGTGGTGTGTGAGTGAATGTAGATAAGCCCATCGGGAGAATTTAAAAATGCTATTGGTCGGATATGGCTCGTTAAAACTTGTCAAGCAATTTGTTTAGTTTCAACTTGACGCTAGGAACAAGATGGGGTTCTTCATATGGAAACGATAAGTAATACGAGAAGGAAGAAAGCGCCCCTTGCCTTTCTCTCTCTCTCTCTCTACCATTCCTTTTCCCTTTTACACCATTGACAAGGATATTTTAGACAAGTCTGCGGGGTGCATTCTGCGAGTTTTGAAAACCCCAGACAGTCCGGCGCTACTATGTTCTATTCTATACTCTTTCCATAACGTTTGAAAAAGAATATTTTATTTATGACGAATCTTCATACTATTTTTCCATCAAAGTTCAAAGAATATCTTCACACATTAGGACCTACTATTCAATAAAAATGCAAGAAGTTATCGCTATTTAAGATGAATATTTTTTTAAACATTTCATTCGACCACTGAAATAAATGACTAAATAGTAAGAAGGGGAAAAATATTTCTTACGAAATAAAAGAACAACAAATTCCAAGAGACAGGAAGCTGTTAGTGCCCGTAAAGAAAATACAAATTCTCACGTATTTCTTTTTTTTTTTTTTAATATCTTCTTTTACTCTTTTTTTGTTACCTTTTCTTTATGTCTTTTGGATTTGTTAAATTCTCACACTTAGAATAAGAAAAAATAGTACTACCGGATCTCACGTAAAAAGAACCCACAACTGAGTACACAAAATTGCGTTAGTGAGGTAAAGACAAGGGAGAATAAAAAAGAGAAGAGTAGAGAAGAGAAGAGAAGAAGGACGAGGAGGAAGAAGAGGAGGAAGAAGAGGAAGAGGAGTAACACAGATCGGACCGGCAGCTGAGATAATGGGAAGGAAATCAGTTCATTTCTATGTTGATCCCAGCATGGTGGTGCGGTAGAAAAGAAGAGGAGCACGTGTGTTAGAAGAGCCAACTCGATCGGGGCTCGGTGATCGAGAAAATCGAGTCTCAGAAAAATCGCGTCGGGTCTCTTCATGTTAAATACATTTACCACAGTAGCTGTAGAGCATTCTAAGGAGTAAAAAAAAAAAAAGAAAAAAACAAGAAAAACTCGTGAACCCGAAATTACGCCGTACAGGGGTGAATAGAACGTTGTCATTTCTATAACGGCGATATTCTTTCCAGCAATAAGAGAAATGAAAAGAAAAACATTGTGAGTGGATGTGATATTTCTGTTTTTTGTTTTGTTTAATAGCAACAACAGCTTTAGTTTTAAGAAAAATATCCGATAAGGTAATTTTCGAGATACGTTTGAATTTTTCGATTTTTCTAATGAGAAATGAATTGTCAGTAGTGAAAAGATTCGATTGGACTAATAGGCCACCATAGAAGAAGTTGTAAGTTTAGTGGTAGGAAAATACTATCCCCGTCCCAAGGGATCTGGAATGCGGCTAGCCAAGCAATTTGTCAACACCATTAGTCTGGACCAACCAAGGGTTGACTTTGGCGCATCTGCCGACCGATCGCAAGGCGCCAAGAGCGTTATATACAATAAAGGGGTAGTTAATGACAACGGGGTTCTCTCTCTTTTCCTCTTCCTTCTGATCGAAGACCCTTAGATACCGTATGCCAGCCTGTTGACAAAATATTGCTACTGGCATTCACCAAACGTATTTCCTCAACGGATTTCACAGAGAAAAGGGTTCAATCTGCCGATCGGATTTTCGTATCACATCAGTTAACGATGATCAATCGTTTCTTTCTTTCTTTCTTTCTTTCTTTTTATTTTATTTTTCAAGAAGAAAATAATTACGTGAACAAGTGTAGAGAAGGAAAGAGTTTGTTGATTTTGCCGGCGGTAAGTTGAAACGATGTAGGATCTGCGGTTTGAAGAAGTTGTTAGTAAAAAAAGGTGTAGATGGTGAGAGAGAGAGAGAGAAAGAGAGAGGCGTGGAGGTGGGGGGGGAGGAGGAGGTCCGGAGGTCTTCCTCGAAAGCTGAAACTGAAACGGGGATAGGTGGGATGCCATTGGAATAAGATCGGCTTTAGCCGCAGTGTCGGGTTCGAGCCCCAGGATAAGTCTGCCTTATCCCGATAAGCCGGTGAGTTAATGAATCACAAAACAGGTGGTGGCGCTACTGCTGAAATCGTCTTCGTTCCTGACTAACTGTGCTTCTCAATAAGATCGAAGAATTTTTTGTTCAGAGTAAATATATAACCCAAAAGGATACCGAGACAACCTGCGACTTTGATATCAACGATCGAAACTAATTGTAAGAAACAGATTAACAAATTCGATAGACCCTTTTTGAAAATGTTTCTTTCTCGAACAGTAAGTTGGCCAACAAAATTGACCCCTTTTTTTGATTATCTTCAAGTTGGTATCTCCAGTTTGTGAAATAACACACACGATGGGTGTGGTAGCTTCCTTATCGTGTGGTGCTATTCGTACGAAAATTTTTATCTCATCGTTGGTCTCCGTCGTCTCGAACCTGACAAGAGTGAAAAAAGACAAGGCAACGCAAGGCCTACGACGTTGTTTTATCTCACGAAAAACTTCACCTTCGTCTAACACAAAGAAGAAGAAGATGAGACGAGTGTTAAGTATGCGTGTATAGAAGTAAGAGTACCTAACTAGTAACTAGTAAAACAACAATGAAACAAGTAAAAGTGTGAAATTAACGTCAAGATAACTAAATTTCGTGATTTTGATTAGATTTTAAATCGTCCTTGACAAATAAACTGATTAAAGTATTAATTAGCTGTTCATGATTTTTCTTTGCATCTATTTCTTTTTTTTTTTTTAGTTTTACTTGAATATTTTGTCCTCGCAAAAGTGATGGAAAAACTACAATCTATTTTAACAATCAAAAACATATTCATATTATCTCTGTTTGTAGTTCAGTCAGTTTGTAATCGTCGCCTGATAACCATCTTCGAATGTGTCGAGTCGAAAAGAAGAGAATAATATGTATCGTTGGTGATATTACTTATTTTTACTTATCACGGTCTCGTTTAGATATCACTTGAGTACAATTTAAAATTCGAAAGTTCGAATACTTTATTTGTAATCGAATTAAATATCGTATCTTTTTAATTAAAAACATGTATAACTAAGTTTGTTCCAAGAATAGAACACACTTTCAAAATCTCATTATTATTAAATTCAATCAAATTGTGTTGAATTACACCAAAACATGAAACCTCGAATTTCCTCTCCCCCGAATTAGTTGAAAATTGAATGGGAAAAATTTGCTGAGTCAGCAAGAAAGTAAAGGTATTTCGCGATGATCCGGGAAACGAACAGCGACGGCTACTTATCGGTACGAATACGAATAAACGTGACGTTTGATAATATCAAGAATAACAAAATTTAAGCGCAAATGTGACGGACGTTTATAGAAGAAGATCGATTCGATATTTGGTTAATTCGATGGATACAAAAAACACGATGATTAACGACTTTAATCGATAATTAAGACCTCAACCGATTGAACAATGACTTTATTCATCGTGTCAAAGATTTTTTTTTATTTGAAAAACAATCGTTTACAATTGAAGAGATATGTTTCAGAGATATACATTTTTTGTCCAAAAAGGTATAATAAATGAATTAAATCGTATCAATTTCGATTGACAGATAGTCAGATAAATAAAAACCTAGAAAATTCGCGATACGGAAGTAAGAACAAAAGATCTTAGAAATAAGCAAAGAAAAAAAAAAGAAAAGAAAAAAAAGGCGTCGTATTAAAATAAAAATATCTTATCTGGATTATCTCTCGTTATCTTTAACACGGCCTCTGACAATCTGTCACTTCGATGAGAAACGACAAACTTGTTCAAACGACCTTTACCCCTTCTTCCCAAAGCACACATCGTATAAGCATAATTAAGAAGAGACATAGATAGATAAATAGAATTAGCCCTAAAATTAAAACAACTCTTTGAAATTTCTCGTGAACAAAGTAGCGCTCGTTATTGAAACGTTATGCGTGCAATCGCAGTGTTTGTCAATTTGTCTAGAATATTGTTTAACAAAAAAACAACCCCTTTGTATTTATATATATATATATATATATATATATAAACGGATTAAAAGATTTATACACAGATTTTACCTCTCTCTGACCCCCTTTAAACAAGAAAAGATATACTGTAATACTGTTAACGACTCACCACGTTTAAGTTTCTCCAACGGTTCGTGATGCAACTGATGACTAGAATTGTGTAGCATAGTGGTAGCATCATGATGCGAATTACCATGAATGTCGTGATGATGCATGCTACCTTGAAGATGATCACCGTGGAGTCCAGCCATGGATGCTGCCGCAGCAGCGTGCTGATGATGTTGAACGGATAGACTAGTGTTGTTGGTGACGAGATCTTGGAGGCAGAGTTCCGCGTTTCCGGCGCCTCCTCCGCCTCCTCCGCCACCTCCGCCGGCGAGCTCGAGGCTCCCCCCGCCTCCGCCCCCGCGCTCCATACTGTAGAAGGTTAACGTCGTGTTGGCCCTTTTCAGCAACTTTCGCCAAGAGTAATTGGGCCGACTTTATGCGGCCAAGTAACTTTGACTTTAATCTCGCCGTTAGGACGAGATGTATTTCTCTTTTCGTCTTCTACTATACTTTCCACTTCCTTTTCTTAATTCTTTTCAATTTGGAAATTGAATGAATCCTTCTTGGATTCACCGACGGCACTAAACTTTCAAAACTATAGACTCATTTTCTAGATGAGATTAACACCAACGGAGTTATTGAAGTCTCCTGCACCGACGGCCGACGGATAATGATGATGATGATGATGATGATGATGAATTCAAGTTTTGCTGTGTTCGATTTGTCTTATTTGATTATTTTCTTTGGGTCTTCCTTTATTCGATGTAATCAGATAAAAGAATGCTAATGAATAACTGGATTATTTATCCAGTCAGTTTAATATCTGAAATCTTTTCTTGTAGAATTTCCAAGTAGGATCTTCATAAGCAGATGGATACACCAAATGAAATCTAGTCTCTCTTCTTGTTATTCTTGGTATATCTTTATCTCACGAGCACCATCATAATATACTCAACAACTCACTCTATTCCTTTAAACGATCACCATGATATATCTTCCTCAAGATCTCGGATAACAAGCACCCGCGTTACGCGCGTTACGTAAGTTGGTATTTACAAAAAGAAGAAGAAGAAGAAGAAGAAGAAGAAGAAGATGAAAAAGAAGGAATGAACATGTGTCAAAGATAAATGATATAGGTTGAATTGATAAGGAAGAAAAATTAGGTAAATCAAGAAACTATGAACTAACACTAGAGTAGATGGATGTATCAAAAACTGAACGTACAATTTTTCGTCTCTACTCCATGATGAAGAAGAATAATAGAAGAAAAAGGAATAGATAGGAGAGTTTGTAGATTTGGTAGAGATATTGGAATGTAAGAAAAAAAATAAGGAAAGAGATAGAAAGAAAGAAAGGAAGTAAAGGAGTAGAGAGGAAAGAAGTAAGGAAAGGAAAGGAAAGGAAAGAAAGAAGGAAGGAAGGAAGGAAGGAAGGAAGGAAGGAAAGAAAGAGGAAGGACACCGTAGCTAGTGTCGCGATAGTATACCCGGGGTTTTCGTAGTAGATGGAACGTGTAGTGTCCGCGTCGTCGTAGGTAGGTCCGTAGGTCCGTAGGTAGGTAGGTGGGTCCGCGAGGCTTAGCCGGTTGAGCCTTTCGGACTGCCTGCCGGCTTAAGTCTCTAAGTCCTAAAGCCGAACGGATCTAGTGGTCTTGGCTCTGTGCTGCACTACCTGCCTGCCTGCCAGCCTGCNCTCAGCCACCCACTGCTACCTACCGTCGCTCTCCTTCTCTTCTTCTCTCTTTCTCTCCCTCTCTCTCTCTTTCTTCTTCCACCCACTCCTGCTTTTCGTCCTCCTGCCAACCAACCAGCCTGCCTGCCTGCCTGCCTGCCTGCTTGCCTGCCTGCTTGCCTGCCTGCCTGCCTGCCTGCCTGCCTTCCTTGCTTGCCGGGCGGCCTGCCTGACTGTCTGACTGCGCCTCTCCCTGGCTCGCTCGCTCTTACTCCCCTCCACCAAACGAATGGACACCAACCCCCACCCCACCTCTTGTCTACCCCTATCTCGCTCAGCAGCGCCACGTTCCTTCTTTTTCCCTCTCTCTCTCTCTCTCTCTTTCTCTCTCTCTCTCTCTTTCTCTCTCCTTCTTGTCTATCCCCACTATAAACATATTTGAAACCCCTATTGCCCCACCTCCGAAACACCCCCACCTCAAACTCTAATCTAACTCGCGCGAGCGAGATGTACCGCGACTTCTCTCCACGCGTCTGACGCACGCGTGCGGCTTCTTCTTCTTCTTCTTCTTCTTCTTCTTCTACTACATTACTACTTTCTACATGCTACGTATACTACTACTTGTCCTCTTCTACATCTTATTCTTCTTTAGATTTTCTGTCCTTTCTCTTGAGGACGACCACCGTGAACTTGGAAAGTTATCGGTTAGCTTGTCAATGACGTACGTAGTACCTACTTACTTACTTACTTACTTACTTACTTACTTACTTACTTACTTACTTACTTACTTACTTACTTACTTACTTATATACGTATCTTGTCTTTCTCACTTGTGTTCATTCTTTATACTTTTAAAAGAAATGATCATCTTGAAGACAATCTTATGACACATGAATCACTTCAATTGATATTTTTTTATTACCGATCAAAGTATCAGAACTATCTTTTCGAACCCAAGATTAGATCTCTCCCATGTCATGATGTGAAATACCCCAATTTACAACGGGTAGGTATATAAACATAAGATACAATGATAAAAAAAGAAAAGAAAAGAAAAGAAGAAGAAATAAGCGAATTGATGACATACGCTCTCAAGGATAATAATATCAAAAAGGCACTTCTTTCTCTCTTATTGGTGGACAACAAACGCATAAACATATCCGGAAACGAAGCAACACGCTCTCCTCGCTTCGGTAAAAGTACTCTCCGTTTTTGAAGAAGAGGAGTAAAAGTAAGAGTAGGAGTAGGACAGAAATAAAGGGATAGGGATAAGGGATAGATAGAGAAAGATAGAAAGGTGGCGGAGTACATACGTCAAGCTGGAGGAACGAAGCGCCATCCCTTGGAACCCTCTAACGCACCGGGGAAAAGAAGAGACAAATGACAAGGATGGCCACGCCTACCAAAGACTTACTATGGGCGTCTGTGTGTGTTTGACTTCCCCGCGCGCATCCACAGAGTGGGGCTGGAAACGTTCTATACGTGACAACTTGCTACAGGGAAGGGAGGTGAAAGAGAATGGGAGAAAGACCAACAGAGAGAGAAAGAGGTAAAAGGGTGTAGGTGGAGTGGAGTGGAGTGGAGTGGAGTGGAGTTGAGTTGGAGAAGGGAGAAAGAGAACGGTGATACGCTAGCAAGAGATGGAAGAGTCCCGGGTGTTTCCTGATTTTTGAAACTCTCGATGCAGCCAGCAGCCACGACTATGCGCATTATATGTTCTTCCTCTATCCCCTAAAAGAGAGTGAAAGACAGAGATGCATCGTCCTCGATCTAATACGATCTGGTAGTTAACGTAATTCGTTGATCGAGGGATTATCTACTGTTCTTTCTCTTTCTCTGTCTTTCTTTATTTCCTCTCTTTTCTGCTTTCTCTACATTGCAACAACTGACTTTTACCATAAAGAAATATATGCCATGATTTATTCTTATTTGTATGTCGGTATTATTTCTTGATGAACGAATATGATTTGTTTTCAATAAATTGACGTTTGACGGGAAACAACTTTAGAAATAATGTGATTTAGGAGAAACAAGTATAAGTAAACATAAGTAAATAATTACGCGACGATTACAAAAAATGGACAAATTGACATCATGAGTAGATGTGATCTATCGGATTGATTGCTTTTGGTAATAAATTAGCACATATAAGTGTAAATAAATAATTACGTGATAACTTCGACACATACTAGTTAAATAGATAAATATCTCAATGTATACCTACTTACTTATAACTTACTTATTTACTTACTTATATTTGTGTACCATGTCGCGAGAGATGAAGATGAAATAGAAGAAGAATAAAAGAAAAAAAATAAGCAGTGAGATTGCTTTTACGACGAGTTAATACCTCGACTCGGTATCTAATTAACTTTCGAAATTCTAATTGCCCGTAACGTCACTTGGTTAAAAACGTATATGTGTAAGTATCATCCTACATACCTACATACATACATAAGATTATTTATACTCGCCGTTTGCTCGACACATTGACGTGATATTATCCATAAACTAAGTTATTACTGGGCCTGCTATAAAAGGATAAGACAGACGTTTATCAGATAGGAACAGTGCTCGCCCGTTTAGCGTTGAGATACGCGCGAATAGCTAGCTAGCTAGCTAGCAAGCTAGCTATGCGGATGTTTAAGTGAGGCACACCAAAACGTAGCGGCCATTTCGCGAGCTCGATGCCCTGGACTTTACAAAATGGCTCGTAAAACTCTGCCTGCATTGCCCGTCATGCACCACTTTTTTCTTATCCTTCTTTTACTTATATTCCTTTACCTTTCGTTACTCTATTTTTTTTTTTTTTTCTATATGAAAATATTAATAAATAAATATTTGTTCATTTGATTTTAACAATAAGTTATTACATATTCTTGTATTTCATTGTCCAAATGCAAACTAAAAATGGAACGAATAATAATTACAACACGATATATTTAATTGCACAAGGTGTTTTTAATAATCAATTTGGAATTTAGTCTTGAAACAATTTGTAAACAAAAATTCTACATTGTTTAACTGTAACCAAAATTTTGCGATCAAATTCTTGCAATCGAGCAGTTCAAGTTTCCGTAGGAGTGCATAGATGCAAGAATGAAACTGGTACAAATAATTGATTGAAACTCAAAAAAAAATTGTAAAAAGAAATGTTGTGCATATCGTGTAACGTTAAGAAAATGTTGCAAATAAATTCTATCATCAAGTAGTTGAAGTTTTTGCATGAGTGCATCGAGGAAGCAGGAATTCAACTGGTACAAATACCATTTTGCTCGTACTTTGCTCGTATCCATCCATCCTCTTTTTCATTTTCTACTTTCTTTTTTTTTGAGAAATATTTTCTCCTATATATCGAAATGATCGGCAGACTTAAAAGGAACGTTATAACCTTACTAAAAGAACTATTTCTATGAGGCTAAAAGATCAATCGGCTCGACTACCCACCGACACGACTCAGAGTGTCGTGTTTTATTAGCGATAGTAAAACCGTTCGCAAACAATCGATATTCGTCAAGTCAAGAGAGAGAGAGAGAGAGAGAGAGAGAGAGATAAGGTTCCTTTGAATAAACCTGTTCTCCCTTTATCTTTCTCTTTCTCACCTTTTTTATACTTATCATTAGTATTTTATTACTAAGGTAAATTTTCTTTTTTCCTTTATAAACAAAACAAGAAGAAGGTAAGACGAGTCAACATA